AATACTTATTTTATTCAACAAAGTTTGTTATTTCATATCAAAGTGAAATGCTGCATAATAATTTGTTTTCCATGTGTTCATGTAAGGCACAAATATGCATCTAATTCAATGCAGATTTGAGTCAAAAAGTAAAAAATAAAATAATTTCACACACAAAGGGGACCTAAAAAAAATCCCCACGCCATGAGGGATGAAGGCAATCATGAGGGGTCCTTTTCTTTTTTTCAGGGAGTTGGCTAACCTGAGTTTGAGGCGGTTAGACATTTAAACCAACGGTTTTAGCACTGGCTTGTTATTAAAGTCTAAAACTCTTTATTTGGCCCAACACGGAATAATGTCTACAAAGTTGACAGCTTTCAGAATTTGGCAGAAGGAATTTATAATGCATCAACCAGAAATTGAAGAAAATGTATTATTTATATTATTATTTAGATATTGTTCTGGCTGGAGAACCAGGAAAATAAATTTATTATTTATTTTTACGCAAATTTAGTTGATTTTTAAGGGCAACATTGTTAGCTAGCAGCGGCTACAATAACAGCTAACCTACTTTCAAAGCTTCAATAATTAAAGGAGAAAGTCCTTTTTAGCTGCAAAGAAATGTAACAAAAGCAGTAAAAAAATAAAAATAAACCCAGTAGTTTGAAGTTTCTCTATGTTAGACCGAATAACTCCAGAGAAAATTGTCATTTTTTTGTGCTGTTAGCTTTGCACCTTTCAAACACTTAGCATCAAGCTAAGCTCACGTTAGCCTTGTCTTTCTAGCTTATTTTCTTGTAACGCCTCTAAGTCCTGCTCCGTCTGCATGAAAAATGGGGAATAAACTTACCTTTGAGATGCTAAGCAAACTGAAATATTCAAAACAATCCCGAGTCTGTAATCGCAACGGAAGGAAAACAGGAAATGACGTATTTTTAAAAGCGGAAACGAGGCATCGCAGGTCCTCGAATTCTTGGAGCTACAAAAACATTTAGAACATCTAAATTTAGGCTGTCTTTATCTTTTGTTTTATTTTTTCGGCGAAACTCCTACATACGAGCCTTGAAAAAGAATAAAAGGAAAGAGTGTTTCCAAATAATAGTAATAAAAGGGAGGTCTACACATGAGAATCAGACCGTTTGCTGCCTCTATGACGTCACACATGAAAACAGGGCGATTAAGGACGTGCTTAAAATTAACCTTTTAACACTGATTAAAAAAAGCAATATTATTGGCTCTTAGTTTGAATTAATGGGCTGCATGGACTGGATGCTTTGAGGTCCTTGAAAATAAGGAGACCGGAGGAGTTTTTGCTGTGAATTCAAACAGGTCCAGCCTTCCGTAGCTTTTACAGCTGTACACTCTGTCGCTTAGCAACCGTGGCAGTTAACACA